TTTTTTATAATTATATAAATAATTTAAGAGTTTTTTTACACAAACCCAGTGGGTACCAGACCTGAAAAAGACGTCTACAAGACGTTTTTAAACGTCTTTTTTAGGTCCGTGTCTACTGCGAAGGCTTTTATACAATATATCAAACAAATAAAGCTAACTTACTTAAAATAACTAGGTCTCTTAGGTTCATTTTTAATGTCCAAATTTGCTTTTTAAATAAATCCTTGAGAGAATTAAAATATTATCATAATTAAAATATTTCACCCAACTGTATTAAATGCCAAAGATACTTTTATTATGTAGAAAATATTAATGTAAATAAGTAATAATGTAATAAGTAAAAATACTAATTAATTCTAAACAGCATTAAATTAGAAATCAAGAACTGTAGCTAGTCAGTAAAATGCAAACTGTGTACTTTTTAGCAAACCAAAACATTTTAATGACCACAACAGTCATGATATTAAAAACATTTCCGCATCGATTTTTTAAATTATATATTTGTATTCGATATATTTTATTTAAATTAGACTTTTCTTTTAAAATAATTATAATTTAACGAGCAATTAAAGTTTGATTTAATTTTCTTAAGAGTTCGCATTTTACCATTTGGTAGGTGGTAAAATGCGAACTTTAATTGTAATTGCAATTAAAATTTGTATTTTACCATCTACCAGAACTTTAAATTGATTTATTTTTTGCCGTTTACTAAATAAATTAAAGTATAAAGACTAAGGAACAAGTTTAGAAATTGTCGGGTGTGGATTAGACTTGACACGAAACGTATCGTACGGGTCATACCAGCTAGTATTACATTATTTACTTATGAAGACTTGTGATGGGTTATCAATATTTACATTGTACCCCATTTTATAAACAGATGCAGTATTTGATAAAGAGATGGTGTCCAGCACTGTAGATTTCCCAAGAAGAGTTTTTGCTTAAAGTATCTTGACTTTTGTTAATATGCAATTACTCATAATGAGCAGTAGTCGGTTCAGCCTGAACTTTAAGAGTTAAGTAATTATCATTCATTTTTATTGACGAGACAAAGAACTGTAATGAAAGACACTGATGTCTGTTTCATTACAGTTTTTTGTTTCATCAATTTAGGGGTCGTCCATAAAGAACGTACGCTTTTTTTTTTCATTGACCCTCCCCCTGCATTTTACAATACGCTTTTTTGAGTACTCTCCACCTCCCTAAAAGTGCCTATGCCTTTAACCTATTTATCTAATATTTTATGATATTTTTTTAAATTTAGTGTCTCCTTTTTTTTATAATTGACCCACTGCTCTCCCATCTCATATACGCCATTTGCAGACCTCCTCTTCCCCTCTGAGCGTACGTACTTTATGGACAATCCCTTACCATCAATTTAAAAATTTAAATTTACCGATTTTAAAAACAACAGCTTTTGATGCTAATTCATGAAACTTTAATTCAATTCAATAACATTCATAATTTAATTCAATAACATATTTTAATTCTCCGAATTAAAATATGTTATTGAATTAAATTATGAATTAAAATATGTTAAATTTTTGAATTTTCAAATGATTATTTCTTAAATTTCTAATTACAGCTTTGTAACTACAATTAATTTTTTATTTGAAAAAAATTGTGAGTAACAAATAAAAAAACTACGTTAATTTATTTACTTTCTTTATTGAAGGTTTGTTCTTTGATTAACGATTTTGTTGTGAAAGCTAGGATTTTTTTTTACAAATATTTATTAAAATTATATTGCTGTATATGTCGTTTATTAAAAAATAATTGCTGCAATTTAACTTGTAATATTAAAAAAAAAAGTTTAACTTACATTTCATGCAAATTTTTGATGCCGCCGTTTATTTAAAATTTAATTATGAGTAAAAAAAAATGTTTAAAAAAGGAAAACTGAAAAAACAATTGCGATAAATTTGACAGTAAAGTTAAACCCAAGCATTAATTTTAATAAACTTAAATCAAAATTAAATTATATCTTTTTTAAATCTAAATTAAATTATATATATCTTTTTGTCAGAATAAAATTATACATTTTTATTAAATTACTTTTAAATTAAATCATATATTTTTTATCAGAATTAAATTATATTATGATCTTTTCTTCAAGCTCAAAGTATTAGCATTTTCCAAGCAAAAAAATCAATCATTACAATAAAATAAAAACAAAATCAACATAAATTTTTAATTTTATTTCATTTTTTTTTTCATTAGTAAATAGCGTTTATATCTAACAAAATTTCAAACTTTTGAAACAAATATTTATACTTAAACATCGTTCAAAAGTTAAAAAATGATAAAAAGTTGCTTAACTAAAATCGCTTACATAAAATTGCTTAAAGCATATGTAAATCGGTTAGAAAATGCATCACATTTAATACAAAAAAAAATTTTGAGTAAAAAGTTTTTTTCTCATAGGCCATATAAGTGATTAAGTATATATGACTATATATATGACTTTCTTAAATTCTACACAATATTAGATTTTAACAAACTCTACTGAGATTTAATTGCAGATTAAGACAAATACATTGTAAACATTTTTTATAGGGATTGAATTTGGTGTCCTTCTGTGACAATGAATGCGTGTTCTTCTGTGACAATTGGATTACTTTTTGATTTAGTTTATTTTGTAGTTGTGTAACTATATTTTATGATAAGATTTTTTGTTCCTTTTTACTTTCAGATTATAACTAATTAAAAAAATATGAAAGAAATAATAGTTAAAAAATATAGCCTGGTTCACAAAGACAGAAAGAATATTTATTTAAACTGATGGAAACTAATAATACCTTAAAAAAAAGAAAGAGCAAATGAAGTTTTACCTTTTAAAGAAAAGAAAAAAAGAATATGAATCTAAATTGAAAAAAGACAGAGAAAGAAGTTGGAAAGAGCTTTGAAAGAAACTGGTAAAAATATTAAAATATTATTTTATCTGTATTTTATCAATATGTTTATTTTTACTCATTTTATCTCTTTGGCATTAGGATAAGCCAATACACACCAAGGATAAGCATTATTTTATTTTCAGATGGAAGAATACACAAAGGTGGAACAACTAATCAAGCTGCTTATTGTTCATTAGCTAAATTAAAACGAGCTATACCAAAAAAAAGTACTGAGTTGTCAATGACTGGATTTGAACTCATATCACACAACAGTCTGGGTTTTAATACTTCCTTTTGACGTTCTAACCAACTGAGCCTTCTAGCTTCGATAATAATAGTTATTGAGGAATAATAAGTGGGTTTCTGAATCAGAAACTCAAATAACTTTCTAAAGATTGTGTTGAATGTTTTCAGAAAATCTAATGGTGATAAAGAAATTGTAACTGATTAAATTTTTAACACCAAAATCTCTAAGATCTTCTTTCATCTGCCTAGTTAATATTATTAAAATTTTATATTGCAATTAATGATTTTAAACTTTAAAAATGAATGAAATGAATTTAAAACTTATCAAAAGACATTTTTCCATCAATTAATGTTACTTGGGCAGTAACAAACTGGTGGGTACCTGGATATCTGTTGACAGCCTTAAATATCAAAATGCATCTTGGTTCTTTTCAAAAAAACTGATTTTTTTAAACTTCTAGAAATAATTTTGGTGAAAAGTTGACAGAATCTGCTTTTAAATATGATTTTTGGACATCATTATTATTGACAGTCTGCAATGCTTTTAAATATAATTCTTGGCCATCATTATTTTTATAAGGGTTTAAAAGTTAATATAGAAATTTTTTTAATTAAATACAGTCTATATGATTGAGCTGGAAATATTGTGCAATTCGAAAATACATAGTTGCAATGCTTGTGATTATATAAATGAGTATACAGCTCTTTCTGTTCTATGTTTATAGAGTTTTACTTGTAGCCATCTGCCATTGGTTTTGATTCAATGGCTTCTTTTAAAAGTTGAGATACAACTGATTGGAATAATTCCATAGCAATAATACATTTACCGTAGTAACTGAGCAGCAATAGCTTTAATAAATAGTTGAATGTTCTTAAGCTCAATGTATCATTTACCTAGTTATAACTGTTTTTCTCTGCCTTTTTTTAACTTTTTGTTTATTAACCATAAAACATTATTTCAATAAACAAACCTTTAAGGTGCTGTTATACATTTTGTGAAAAAGTAATAAAAAAATTAATTACAGAAACTCTTTGTAAAACATTTTTTGAAACTAATGATTATGAATTTCTTCACTATTTTTTAAAAATATTTATTGAATAATATTTATAGGCATCTAATTTAACTGTTGTGTAAAAAAAAATTAACTTTGAATTTTTTTACTTTAAGGCATTTTGAAAAAAGTTGTAACATAATGTATTACTATTTTGTGAGTATTTGTTTTATACTAATGTATCAGTAATATATCAATATTTATTATTAATAAAACTAAAAATAATAAAAAATTAACTTTACTTTTTTTCGGATAATAGTAGTATTTTAGAAAAAAAACTAAACTTTTGAGAGGTGATCTAATATTATATTGACTCAAAAAATAAATTTAATTAAAAATTAAAGCAACTTAAATTCCAGTTAATGTCATAGAAATGTAGACAATATTGCTCTTATTGTTTCTTATTATTTTTTATTGCTTGTTCTCAACCACTGATTATTAGTACAGATATATTCATAAAGCATTTTAAGAAATTTAATTAAAGATTGATCACAATCAGGCATTTTTTGAGCTATTTGAATTTTGTAAAAAAAAATTTTAAAGCTTTTTGTATATTTTTTTACAAATGCATTAATTCTTGTAACTTATTATGAATGCAAAAATGTAAACGTGGACATTTATATTGACTATAATTACACCTACTTATATGAAGTTAACAACATGATACTAAGAAGGCCTAATATGCAGTTTATATATTTCGAAAAATTTAACATAGCATTCTTGCTTTTAAAACGTTTATCATAATGATTTAGAATTTAACTATTATTGAACAATAAAAAAATAAAATTTTAGTGAAAAAAAATCTAACCTTTTCTAAAGCTTTTTTTTCAGCATCTCTCTTTGCAATCATTTCCTCTAATGATAATGGCTAGAATTAAATATTAAAGTAATGGTTACTCCAAACCGAGACTATTTATGTTTAGTAATAACAACTTAATTTAATGTTTAGTAATAACTTAATTTATGTTTAGTAATAACAACTTAATTTTGGATAAAATAAATAAAATATTGATTATTTTTAAATATTTTTGAAAAGTCTCTAAACAAATTTAAATAAAATAAAAAAATTCAGACAGATGCACTAAAAACAACAAAAATTTGATTTTATATGCTGCTACTGAAATGCAAATTGATTTAAAATAATAATTAACATTTCTTAAACAAACAATGACATTTGTTAAAAAATATGTAAAGCTTACCTCTCTTTTTGGAGGAGCTGTCCATTCCCCTTCCTCTAAATCCTCTGTTGCCAGCTCTTTATTAAGCAAACTAACAATAATTTTAAAATGTTTCAAAAATTTAAAGTTTAAATATATTGAAATTAAATTTTAATTAGCCAATCACAAAAAATCATTAAATTACAAAACTAAAAAAAATAGCAAAATTTTTATTTGCTAACTTAATACTTTTTCTTTTTTGCCATTCTTGCAGAAGAGTCATCCTTCTCCTTTGATATTGACCTTGACCGATGTCTTTTTCTATCAGGTGAGCGTGATCTTGTGCGTGATCTTGATCGATGACGATGTTTCTTTTTTTCTTTTTTTTCTTTTTGTTTATACTTGTGACGATCTTCCCGGTTTTTATCATAATCAACATCTCTACTTTTGTAATCTCTTTCTTCTTTTCTGTCTGACATATTTTAAAACTTGCAAAAAAAAAAAAAATTTTTTTACATGGAAAAAACTTTTAGTACGCATTGTCACAGACAATGCTTACTAAAAATAAAAAAAATTCAATAAACAAACTGATATTAAAATGAAAAAAAACTTTTTAAAATCAAAAGCAAACATCTACCAGATTAAATAATAATAAAAATAGGGATAATATCAAGAACAAGAATGTGGTCTATCCATAAAAATTTCAATGCTTTTCAAAAGTACCTCAGAGTGACACCTCAGATTTGGTTTAAATTTTGACCTTACACAG